TGACAGCTCTATTAGTACTAGTATTTACTTTATCCCCTAACACCACCCCCCCCGCTGTGTTGCCACATCATGGATGATGGGCTTTTCAGATTGGATGGCACTTAACATGTTACTGAAGAAGAGGCTCTTTCAAGAGTACTAATGGTGTTTATGACATGGTTAGATTAAAATCTTCAGGACATCTAGTCATTGATGTTGCCATTACAAGAAAAGAAATCCAAAGCTGCAAAGACAGAATTATAGTAGAAACATGGAATGTAGGAAGCACAGACACAAGAAAGCTTAACACAATGAAAGATGAAATGAAACAATTATAAAGTGAATGGACTGGGATCAGATACTTTCAGTCAGAAGATCACACGGATTATTAGGACATGAAAGATAAAAAAGGTAAAGGAGTCCCTGCGGATTTTACTCTGTTGCAGAGTATGAGACAGTGTTCATCTCCATTTCAAGGCCATTGAGTCAGTGCTGTCCAAAGACATTTCCAAAGTCATGTGGCCAGCATAATGTCACGGAGCGCTGTTATTTTCCCACCGAAGTGGTTCCTATTTATCTACTCGCATTTGCATGCTTTTGAACTGCTCGGTTGGCAGAAGCTGGGGCGAGGATGGAAGCTCAGTCATATGGTGCTCAGGTCTCAAACTTGGGCTGCTGGCTTTCCAGCCAACAAGCCAATGTCTTAACCACCGAGTCACTATACCGCCCATTAGGGCATGACAAACGAAGAAATAGTGTTGTTTTTATAATTGTGAAGGACATAGCAAGAACAGTACTTGGCTACAATGCAATCAATGATCAAATAATAATGACTGACTTCATGGACAACCCTTTAATATGATGATCACTTAAATTTAGGCTCCAACTACTGATAGTGCAGAGGAAGAGGAGGTGGATGAGTTGATTAAGTTCAATTTGAAATCGAAAGAACATGTCAACAAGATGTACTGCTTGTGATTGGAGACTGGAATGCCTAAGTGGAAACATGAAAGACAAAAATGTAGTTGGATTGTATAGCTTCAGGAATGAAAATGAAATAGGAGTCCCACTTATCAATTTCTGCCACTCCAATGATTTCTTCATAGCTAACATTGTCTTCAGACAACCAAAATCAAGCCTCTATACATGGACATTACTAGATGGAATACAGTATATAAAAATACATTTTACTATGTTATTGATAAAAAGAAGATCGAGGAGTTCATTTACAGATCAAAGACATGGCCAGGTGCTGACTGCAGAACAGATCATGAACTTAACTCCAAGCTTAACTCCAAGTTAAACTACAGAAGAAGAAGAAAAAAGCCAGGCAGTTTCCATAAGGTGATTTTGCATGCTCTCATTTTCAAGATCACGAATTGCTTTGAAGTCCTGAACCTCATTGAAAAAGAAGCAGAGGAATTATGGGATGAATTTAAAGAAGTAATTAAGGATTCATATGGAAAGACAGTGGTGGGATTCAGCCGATTTGCACCACTTCGGCAGAACTGGTAGCTAATTTTTTGTTGCCCAGGCCCAGAATGGACTTCCGGAAGCAGCATCCACACAGAGAACCAGTTGTTCACATATTTGAATCCCACCACTGTGGAAAGAGACTGACAAAAATTAAGAAAGAGAAGAAAGCAAACTGTGGGAATTGCCAAGAGGAGAAGAGAAGCCAAAGCTAAGAAGAACAACTTTCTCATAAAACAATTTAACAGTTTCAGAGAGCTGTTAAAGACAAAAAGCAATATTACAACAAATTGTGTAAAGATATTGAAGATGGGCACAGACATGTAAAAATAAGGAAAGTCTTTCAGAATGTCCCTGAACTTGAGTGGTGATGACCTCAGGTTGGTATGCTAAAGGATGCCAATCGACAGATAACCAACTCAAAGGACATCAAAGGAAGATGGGAGGCATATAATGAAACACTCTATAGTAGAGATGACAACATCCAAGATACCTTAGAACAGTGTTTCTCAACCTTGACAATTTTAAGGCATGTGGACTTCAACACCCAGAATTCCACAGCCAGCAATGCTGGCTGTGGAATTCTGGCAGTTGAAGTCCACATGCCTTAAAATTGTCAAGGTTGAGAAACACTGCCTTAGAAGATATTCCTTATTTTACAAGAACCTCTAGTACTAGTAGTTAGATCAACACTCCAGTCATTAACAAGGCTATAGGAATTAATGGAATACCCACTGAAATATTGCAAGCAACAGAGAAGAATCAATTAAGGTTCTAACCAAGCTATCCCAGGAAATATGGAGAATGACACAGTAGCCAAATGATTCTAATGCCTTAAAAAGGGAGATTTAACAGAGTGTGTAAACTATTGCATAATATCTTTAATTTCACATATTAGCAAAATAATAACTAAGATCATCCAATGCAATTAGAAGCCTCCATGGAAAAAGAGTTGCCAGTTGTTCAAGCTGACTTCAGAAAAAGCCAAGGAAGGTGTGACATTATTGCTAACGCCCACTGGATAATTAAGAAAGCCAAAAAAATACCAAAAAGAGGTTAGCAAGTACTTCAACGATTACAGAAAAACTTTTAATTGTGTTGATCATAGCAAGCTGTAGGAAGTGCTCAGAAAAATAGGAAACCCAGAATAACTCATGGTCTTTATGAGAAATGTATATACAGGTCATAAAGCCACAGTATGGACAGAACATGGTGAAGCAAATGGGCAAAGGTTGAGCAAAGGACTGTGACAAGACTGCATATTCTCCTCTTTATTTATTGAACTTGTACTCTGTAATGGAATATAAATAACCTGCCCTATGCTGATGTTGCTACTCTGGATATGCAAGTGCTCATACTAAAAGTCAAAGAACACAATGAAAAAAATGGGACAAAAGTTAAATATAAAGCAGAGACTCAACTAATGACAGCAGGTAGAACAACCAGCCTTAGAATCGACAATGAAGATATCAAAGCAGTGGATAGATTCAGCCTTTTAGGATCAACCATGAACAGTAAAGGAACACGCAATTAAGAAATATAGCGAGTTGGAAGAGCAACCATGAAGGCCTTGGAAAAGATATTCAAAGGCCATGATGTGTCTATACTTACAAAGATCAGAATTGTGCTTGCTATGGTACTTACTCTGATTCACTGTGGAAGTGAAAGTTTAAGGAAGCAACATGGGAAGAGCTTTGATGCCTTTGAACTTTGGTGTTGGAAAAGACTCCTGAGAATACTGTGGATAGCCAAGAAAACAAATCAATGGATCACTGAAGAATCAACCCAGAATTCTCCCTTGATGGACAAGTAATCAGACTCAAATTACTTTGAACCTACTTCGGACATATTATGAAAAGACCCAGCTCTCTAGAAAAGGCTGTAATGGTAGGAAAGGTAGAAGAAAAGATAAGAAAAGGACAACCAGCAAGAAGGTGGATGGACTCTGATACAATAGCAATGAGTGCACCATTGGGAGACTTGAAAGAACAGGCTAAGGATAGATTGTCATGGAGAAACTCTTATCTGTATGATTGCTAGGAATAGAAAGTGACTTGATGCCAATAATCAATCCAGTTTATTTGTACCATATGCTAGAAAATTCAAGTATATGTATTGTACTGTATTAACTTTTGCATAGATGAGCTTCAGCATTTTGCCAGAGTGGTCATAGCACATTTTCCCTAAGATTTTGATACCTCAAAGTTCTTATGTTCTCTTCCAAATTTTCCAAGAGAGATAAACAAAATCTTTCAACACCCCCATTTACCGTGGTTCTTACATTCTAAAACATGTACATATATGATAGTTATGACCACTGCAACAGGAATTAGTTGGTGAGAAATAAAGGAACCACATATAAAAATGCTACGTTTTCTGACGCCAAATTGGTAACAGTTTTGTACACTGTGATCAAAATAAGATGACGGACCAATAACTGTTTCATCAATTGAGCCTGCAAAGCAGATAATTAACGGTACCTAAATGTGTTCTACAGTATCAGCAGTGTAAGTTTTAAAATTTGCAATAATTCAAGCTTACTTGAGGGAGAGTCAGTGTTTCACAATGAACAAGCAGTAACTGCACATTTATCCCCCAGTGAATTGTCTGAAGGAATGGATGTCATGCTGATAAGAATAATAGCAGGCTGGCTAACACATCTGTGCAGATATTGTCAGTTTTGTATATGTCCCTTATGCCTTTTTCCCCTGCTCACTCAATTTCTCTCCGGTTGCTTATTAACCCTTTGAAGAGGTTTTTCGCTGGTTGCAGTAACACAGGCATTACAGATGAAAAGCTTAACTGGGTAATTATTAGAGAGTCATATGACTTTAGGAAACCAAAGAGATCAAGGGTATGACTTAAGGTATATGATCAATTCTCATTTTTCTTTCTCTAAAAAGACTATACAACGAAGCACACAAAAAGTAACATAAAACAAAGATGATGATCAGGTAAACACACTTGTTGTACCCAGAGCAGAAAACGGCTCCATCTTCCCTTCCTCACCTTGCATGGACATTCGCTTCTACTGACATTTTAGATCACTCTGATCAGAATTTATTTTTGTTCCAAAAGTCTGCAAATTACAGCTAATGCCCAATCAGCATACTGAATTGGTAGATAAGCTGGTATGAATGAAATATTGTTAACAAAAAACTGAATGCAATGACTAATGCTAATGACAATTGGTCCAAAAATTAAAAGGGACAGGGACATTTTTATGCCTCAAGTAGATGGTGGGGAGTGGTGGAGGTGGGCAGGGAGAGAAGCAAACCTGCTATGAGGTACTCCTTATCTTTACAGTTACCCTATCATCAAGAGATCAAGCAACTTTAAGCCTTTATGGAACCTTTCTATATGATGGCTTCTTACTCTCTCAAGACATATTTCCAGTAATCAATGAGCTTGACTCCATCATCAATAGAATATTGGACAAAAGTGACTATTCTCTGTATTTTGGATACAAAGAAGGCCATTAGGTTAATAATGACTTTCTGAATGGGTCACAAGAAGTGTTAGCAGGTGTACTTATCACAGATCCCTACCTCATGTCCTCTGTCTTGCACAGGACATGACTCACTGTCTGCTTCAGAGAACGATCCAGACTCATCGCTAGAGTTTGTTCCATAGGATGGCTCACATTTTATCTGGGGTCTGACTTGGCTGTATATTCCATCTCCCATCATGCTCGGCTCCTGATGCTCAGTGGCCAGGAATCGAGCTCCTTGAGAACAGGGGGAAGATGAAAACTCACACAGAGGCAGGCTACAGGGAGAACCACCGCTGCCATCCTCTGCGTAAGAGTAGGAGGAACATGAACTGGAGGTCCTTGTTCTGGTTTCCAGGGGAGGAGACCGAGGACAAACTTTAATTGGCACTGGGCAGCTGGTGTTGGGCCGCATCCGTCCTGGGAAATGGTCAGCTGTCTGTCCAATATGAGCATAGGTCTGGCAACTGGGAAGAGATTGGCTGCTTCCTGCCCACAGGCCTTTTGGCACAGTCTCGGTGAGATCTTTATCCAAGCTGCTCATGCCAGAATATGAATGCACCGAAGTGTTTACTTGGTCACAAACATTTGAAGAGAATATAACGGTCCTCCTGTCCACCTCACCTTCCTGCTTACAGAGGCCTTCAACAAAGCCAGGACTTCTTAGAGGTGATCCCACTGTAAAACTGGAAGCATCCTTCTGAACAGCTTGGGAGAGCCCATAACTGCCCACAAAAGGGACATAATCAGCTTTATGGTCACCCTGAGTTGTCCCCTTGTCAAAAGGGCATGCTGGATTTCTGGCAAAGTGCTGTTGGGAAGTAGTTGGGAAGCCATCTAAGTCTATAGTTTTTGTTCGGTTGAAGAAAGATCTTAGGCAGGAAGGAGAGGAACTGTTTTTTGACCTGCCAGCTCCATTAGGACTTGGCTGCTTTCGGTCCATTTCAACATCCCCTTCTTTATCCCTGACACTAGTCTCCTCTCCAGAGAGGCAAAGTGTGATGTTTTCTTCATCGTTTTCCTCATTCCTAGGCTCACTTTTAATTTGCCCGACAGCAAGTTCTGGTTTGAGATCGTCACCTGAACCTTTTTCATTGAATGTGCTTGTGAAACCTGAGGTACTAACATGTGATGTGTTGTAGACATTCTTGGTACAAGCTAGCTGGTATTTCTTATACCTGGGGTACCGTGTTACTACTTCTTTATCCAAACTATCCTTGCCATCATCCACCAGTATCTCCGGGTCTGGCAGCATTCCTTCCTCCTTACTGGCTCCAGACGTGGCGGGTTCAAAGTCAAAGGACTCTGAGTGCATTCTCTCTCTTGAGCAAGATATCTTTGAAGTCTCTGACTCCATAGTTTCTTCCTCTTCTCCCTCCGAGTTCTCATCTTCATGCATCCGCTGATAGGTGAGATCCTTTTTGCACAGAAACAGGCCATCTTCATTGTTCAGCAGCTGGGTCTGAAGGAAGCTGAAGCAGGAATCCTCCAGGTTGTGCATACGTAGAAATTCGGCACAGTGGATGACCTCTTGTATGTTTTCTCTGCTGAGTAATAGCTTAGCAGTGTAGGCAAACTGCAACAGCGGACCAAATCCCTTGGCAGTGACCTGCAATGAAAAACAAAACAAAACAAAATATAGGGAATTTGCCAGCATTACCTTCAACATTGCTATTTTTTCCCAAGCCCCTCTAGTATATTAGCAGCACTGGAAAATGCCTCCACTAATCAATTATTTTGTCTTTATATTTTCATGTAATTGAATGAGCTAAACAATACATTCAGCAAATGATTCAAGGACAATGTGATTTCTAGCACTTGCCAGATAATATTTGGTCTAGGAATCTCCTGGATGTCAAGTGTTTCAGGAGTGCATAATTATCAATTTTGCGATGTTTCTCTAAAGCAGACTTTGCAATTGGAATAAAGTACCTCAGCTATTACTAAACATATTCTTTGAAAAACTATACAGTACTTTTCAACAGAAATTGCATACACAATATTTAATTTTTATTCAGTTTAGCTGGGTCAAGATCTCCGTTGCTGGGAAAACTTTAATTAAGTGGCACTTCAAAAAAAAAGTCAGGATCCTTGGGAAGCATGTGGAATTTAATCTGAGTAAGTAACAAGAATAATTCTCACTTTGCCTGTGACATTTAATCACGTGTTTAGAAAGATAATTTGGAGGTCAATTTCTCCATCTGCGATATGCCTAGGCCGCCACAACCACTATTAAATTACTCTGGAGATACAGCAACCATTTAGCAGACTAAGTCAAACCAGCCAAGTTTCTAATTTCAACCCCTCCCCCTCCAATAAATATTTTTTGATTCACGTTCCCTGTGGAGTTTTATCTTCTAAGAACACAAAAAATGATCTTGCACTTACAGAACACACCCACTAGGTGGAAGAACTGCAAAAGAAGTGAGAGCTGTCCTCTTGTTTATTTTTAAACGGTACAGTACTTTCTCTTGATGAGGTCTACGCAAAACATTTCACTGACTCAGAACATTCCACTGTGTATTTTTCACTCAAGCTGAGTCAAGGCTTTCAGGCCCCTAAAACTGCAGCATTCCAGACATCTGCTCCTTGTGTTTTGCTCCAGAGGGTTTTGCATGCAATCTCTTTTGGAGGAATTGCTACACCATCATCTGAGGCACAGCTGCTTGCTCTTATATATGAGGCAAAAATCTGGAGGGAGGCAGGAGTAGGGAGCTAATTCCTTTACAACAGGAACTAGGTGTGATTATTATTATTTTGAAGGACTACAATAGGAATATTTACAGATTCAAGAGAAGCCTTTAGCAAGGATTTTTGGAAACTGTAGAGATGATGCAAATATGTAACTTCTATGACTAAAGACAAGAAAGGCTTCCTGGAAAGTGCAAACATTCATTAGCCAAAAGCTTTGCGAAAATTGATTTGGCCCCTGTTATGGCTCCACCAACATGCTTGCCTTTATAATGCTAGAATAAGAAAACAGATATTTGAGGATTACAAAGTGGTTATAAAGGGAAAGTTTAAAAATACACATTATATATTTATAATACAGTGAAAAGATTCCCACTCTGAGATAAATTCTAAGCAAACTAAGTTCTAAGCAACATAACTAAAAGCATGGATTGCATATACAAAAATGGCCTGCAGTATTCATGATGCAAATAAAATTTATGGATTTTTAATTTTTTTTTTAAAAAAAATGCATTAAAACCAATACTCCAAGGGCACAGATCTGTTAAGATCTTTTATAAAGTAATTTAGCTTTTGATGTCTACACAGATTGGATGGATTCCTATTATGTAAATTAAATCAAATATGATTGAATGATTTTGGTTTAGAATGTTGGATGAACCATGTCATTATGGTTTAAAAAAAGAATCAACTGTGGTTCTCTTCATGAAATTAAGTGTAAACAAGGACATTTTATTTTGGCATCCGAACCTAGAAAAGTATCCATTCAGGACTATTATGTCAAAAAGTTTCCTATCACATCTTTTTATGGCTAATCTCCACAAATTCTAGGATGCCATTTCTTATGTGACAAAAGAGTGCCAGGAACACTGAAATCCTCAAGAAGTTAATTTAGATTAGTTGTAATCCAAGCAACCCTCACTTTTATAGAGTCATACACATTTATATGCAACCAATATAGTTCTTCCATGTTGCTAGGTGCTTTTGCACACACCAGAAAGGTAGGAGATCAAAGTTCAAATTCTTATTTAGTCAAGAAAGGTTTTGACTGTCCTGACCAAACTGCTCATTTTTTTGTTTCTCTGCAAGGCTGTTGAGATGATTAAAATGAAGAAATGATAGAATGATAGCCTAACACTAGAAGTGTTATAGAAATTTATATACTTCTTGAGCTAAGCAAAAATTTGATAGCTCAAAGACATTACGTTTTTCTACCAGATTTTACTCTGACTCAGTGTAAACATTCCTGTCTCTAACTCATATCTCTATGAATATTCCTCTTTTTTCAAATATATAACTCTTCAAATCCCTTGAGTCATCTTCTACTGATGATATTTACACAAAATGTGGCATTGAAGTACAAGTGGCAAGATAATTTCTGATATAGATACTTAACACTTTACTTAATTTTTATGCCTGCATTAAGCTCCAACTTTTATTTTCTAGGATAGATTTTTTTTTTACCAATGGTCTGATAAGCATTATCACAAAGCTACAGTTTATTTAATAAAAGAAAATTCTAGAGAATTAGTGAGAATTAACTCTGCTTCTTTTCACACAGCTCATCCTTTGAATGTCATTTGCTTTAAACATTCTTTCTCTTCTTTATTAAAAGGACAAAATGTTGGTGTAACCTTGGCTTATATACATGTATGCATATATTTTTGCATTTTGTACTCTTAGTTTTAAAAGTTGCCATGTGCATTATCAACTCTCTAGTCAAAGTGACAGACAGATGTGTCTGGCACTTCCAAATGCAGAGCTGCTTATATGCAAACTTTATCACATAATTTTTGCAGATTGCAGTTAAATTGTTTGTTTTTAACAAATATAGGACATTTATATCCAGAGGGAAAGAATACATGAATTTCATGAGGATGAACAAGCTATTTAGAAAAAAACCCCAATTCTTCATTAGGCTAGAACTGTTTATGGTGACTTTTAAATTTTGCGTCTCGAACTAAATTACCATCAGTTCCAGTATCCTTTGGCAAAAACAAAGTGTATGATCACACTTTTAGCATAGATATAGATCACTTTCCTGAAACCATACTCCCAAGATGTATTGGAATTGCAATTCCCAGAATTCTCAGCAGCGCTGGGCACGGTGGTTGAAAATTCTGAGTGCTGCAAATGCCAATATTTCTGAACTGGGTTGGGCAAAGCAAACATATGGAAAATTAATGACAGGAAGCTTGTCAAGTATTACCAAATCAATAGCACTTCTTTCTCCTAAATTCAGAGGGCAGGGTCAGGGTCAGGTTAGGCAAGTCAGCAAGTCTTGATGGATCTCAAAGGCTTATATTTTGGAATAAATTAATAGTACCATTTTTCAACTTTTAAAGCCTAAACAGCAGGAGGGCTGATTATCAGAGGAAATACATAATTTCAAAAGAAGCTTTCTGGATATTAAAGACCCAAAATAATAGCCTCTTGGTTTGGGGGAACAGTAGGAAGCCTTCTCTCCTGCTATTCTCATCGTGTGCAACCTCTTTTGAACCCCACACTTGCCTATCTTCAGAAACCAATGTCAAGACCTTCCTCGGCTATGGGTAATATATCCTGATGTTTTTACTGGATTTTAATGGTCTACATCAGGGGTCTTCAAACTTGGCCCTTTTATGACTTGTGGACTTCAACTCCCAGAATTCCTCAGCCAGCATGCCACGCTGGCTGAGGAATTCTGGGAGTTGAAGTCCACAAGTCATAAAAGGGCCAAGTTTGAGGAACCCTGGTCTACATTTTAAATAGCCACATTAAGTATTCAATAAGTAAAATGAAAGACAAAAAACCTGAAAGGCTAAATAAGTAAATGAATAATGAATTCTGCAGATTAATTTCTCATAATCTTACTCCTGCTTCCCGAGTGTACTTCTTTTACTTTTCCTCCCACTTAATTTAAATCCTGAAGACAGGAGCCCTTCCCAGCTGGCTTCTGACAAGCAAAGTCTATGAAAGGAAGCTGGATTCGCTTAATGACTGCTTTATTCCCTTAAAAACTGTAGTGATTCGCTTAACAACTGTGTCAAAAAAGGTCATAAAATCAGGTGTGATTCATTTAAGAACTGCCTTGCTTAGCAATGGGAACTCTGGTCCCAGTTCTGCTTGTAATTTGAGGACTACCTACAGCTGGTCATGTCTTTCACATAAGAACGGCCCAGTCAGTTTCTCCAAGAGTTGCATATGTGCCGCACCAGGGTATGTGTGCATATGTGCATTAACCAGGGTAAAGCAGGACATTAAAACACTACAAAATTCAATATAACATGTTGTGTTGAGGGAAGCTATAAATAAATAAATGAACTTTTATTGGGCAGCTACCCAGATTCTCCCCATATCCCCCTCCATATCTTGTGTAGACAGACCATTTATTTTCATGCTGATATTTTTATCAGCAAGTTCATCTCAGTGGTTTATGTTGTAAATTCTTTGATACCACATTGAGAAATGCAGTTTTTTGCTAATTTAGGTCTTCCAATAAAGAAATCTCTAGTCAGAATCTGCTGTTAAATGCTGCCTGAGTAGTCTGGGAGATATAGATTTTGTGCTGAGTTTTAGGGGGAAAAATTGATCTTGTATCATTTCTATCATAACAAGCATATTAAGCTGGGAGGTAAAAGCTCAGTAATACAGAGATGATTAGGAAATGTGCACCTATAAAAACACCACTGAGGATTTTTAAATAACTGTATTCTTTTGAACTTAAGAATGTTATCAGTCTTGAATTTAACAATTTAAACAGTGGCAATCATGCCCTGCTATTGTACTGCAACACGGAGAAAATTATTAAATAGCAATATTCTGAGCCACCAGGACTACAGAATTAAGATATTGTCAGAAAACATTTTAATGTTCTGATTCACCAGATTACAAAAGTGTTCAAAATAATTACCTGGCTGCAGCCTTATATAAAAGTTC